GATTCCACTTGGATAATAAAAGTTGTCAATTTATTATATAATTTTAATCTTAGAAACAACAGGTGAGTTAACTTTAAAAGCCAATTTTGTTGAAGAAATATAAAAATTCTTTTTATTTCTAGCATTAAAATTATGGCCATTCTTGACTGGATTAAATTTTAGTTAACAAAAACAGTTAACTCCAAAACATACAGACTGGACAAATTTTAAATTATCAAACTATTAAAAATTGCTTTACATGACTTCTAATAACACCGGCAATAATTCTTATTATTCTATTGTCATTAAATTGTGTCATGCTTTATCTAAAAATAAATAGCTGAAATATTTTAGGGTTAATCGTTTAATTTAATAAACTAATCACATTTTATTTAATTGTAAAATTTAGGTTATTTTTTCTATAAAATAATAGTAAAGTATCCCTTATGTCCCAATATAGCGCCCCTCGTAAATACATTATAAATGTTTTAATAGTTATTTGTTTTACAAGTGTAGAAAAGCGACTTTTTCATGCGAGTGTTTAAGTTGCTCACGAGGCAGTTAGGCAGAGTGTGCATTAACACGAGCTTGAAGAAAGCTTTTCTCACAAGTGAAACACAATGTTTTTTCTACGACCCTTTTATTTTTTATTATATTCAAATACAAAACAAAATAACCTAAAAACGTGTTTGACAGCTTTTAAAATTACTTTCATCTTATTCTTTTAATTTTTAAGGTATAAGTTACTTAAAATGAATAAACTCTCCTTCTCAATTTAAATAAAGGCACTAAAAATTAGAATCTAGTATGCAACACAATTAATTGTCTTCTAAATGATATTTAGACATAGACATAGACACAACAAATACAATACAAATTTTGAACCGAATGTCAAACGATACTGTCAATTTCTTTTCATACAGACCTGTCACTTTTCACACAGAAATGTCACTTTACATTCGTGTTTTGCCTTGCCAATGAAAAGATTCATTTTCTAAGCAACGATGCCATTACAAAATGTGACTTTTACATAGTGGCCGAAGAAAAAACTTGCTGTTCTCAGGATTTGTTATTAGTATTTTACATATAAATATTTTTAGATATATTACATATACGAGTATTGTGATCTTTTAAGGAAAAATAACGGACCAATAACAGCGTAGTTAAACATCTTCGTTTAGATCAAACGCTTTTAAATTTATTTAAATTCGTATTTTTTTAATCGATCTTTTATTGTTATATTAAGTCTAATAAGCTTATTTAAAGAATTTCTCCGATATTTAAATTAAATGTAAGGGCAGTTTTCAATTATCCAATTTATTTTGAATTTGGTCAATTTCTATATAACACAAAAGATGAATTTTTATAAAGTTTTCAATTATCCGGTTTTTAATAAACTAACCCAAAACCATTTACTTTTGAACTCTTAAGCTTTTAATAAGCTTCTGAGTCTTTGAGATTTTAACCTTCTTTGATTTTTTTTTTAATTTTGAGCTTTTAATCTTTTTGGTAAATTTTCGATGTATTGGAAAATAAAACATAACCAACATTTTTGGAAATATTTTAAATTTTGATACTTTTACTACTGTAAAAAATTTGTTATTTTTGAACTGCTGTGCGAATTTGTCCTACTATTTTTTAATGTGCGAATTTTGTTCTAATATTCAAATACGACGATATGCCTGTGCCGCTTCCGTTTATGTTTCACACAAGATTTAGTTTAACCCGTCCGAAAAAAATGTTTCACTTTGAAAAAAAGTCAAAAAAGGTTTAAAAAAGTAAATAATTGTCCCCGTTTTCATTCCGTTTCAAATCCTTAGACACCTTCATATCCTTTCTTAGCGGCTATTCATGCATGTTATTATAGAAATGCACTGTCAAAATTGTTAAAAATTGTTAAAAATAAACAATTAAGGTATGTAAATACAATTAAAGTTTCTGTCACAAATTTAAAAACCACAGGACAAGTTTGTTAAAGTATACAAACAAATAAAACAAAACATATGGACTATCCATTAAAAACATGTTTTGTGTTTCTTTGCGTGTAATAGATTCTATAAAAAACTGCTATCGCTAAAAAAGGATTTTTTTAACATTTTTGGAATAATGAAGCAAAAGTAGTAAAAGTAGTAAAAATTATAATTATAATTATAAATATTTGTTAATTGATATGTTCAATCTTCTTATGAACAAAATAGTCTTTTATTATTATTATTATCATCATCATCATTATTAATAATAATAAAATTATTTTTATTATATTATTAAAAACAAAAAAAAGAAACTTTAAACAAGAAAAAAATGTATTTAACTTTTTCAAAATGTTTTAACTTAAACACCCTTAAAAACTGTTCGATAAATGTCTATTGGATCAGAAGAAAATATTTGTATGTTATCTGGGTCTAGTTTCTTAAAAATTAAATTAAATATGAAAAAATCTTCCATAAAAAAACATGTTAATTTATACATATTTTTTTAAATCCTTTTTGAAACTAGAAATACCCTGTATTAAGCTTTAGTCTTAGTGTAACATTTCCTTTGCGTTTAACACAATTTTATATTCAGAAGTAAGAAGACAAATAAGAAAAACAAACAAAATTACACTAGGACGTTACTTCTTGGGTGGTTTCATATAGGGTCTATTTAGAGAAATTTTTCCATATTTTTACTAAAAAAATTCGTCAGAGCATAATCAAGTATTCTGTTATCATTTCAATATAACATTATATTTAGAATTAAAAACACAAATATTAAAAACATTTTTTTACTGAAACGAATAAGACTGTCCCAGTATTTAGTTGTAAAAAAAATAATTGCGACTAAAAATAAAAAACATAAATTTTGTATATTTTTCTTTAAAAACACACTGCAAACTTTTTGTGCAATGGGGGACGGCTTTCTGCAGAATGGGACCAACCCACACCATGATGAAACTGAGAAAAAAGCTATCAAAGATTTTAATAATTTTAAAATTACCTGTTAATTTTATGCCGATTTTGGACTTACGGAGGTTTAAGGGATATAATTTAATAATTTAATCAGGTGGATTTTGTGATGTTATGTGTAAGGGTGACGAAAAAAATGGGCTTTTGTTGGTTGGTTCCTTTCTGCAATTTATGAAAACTACTATCTAATGTATGTATGTATTTAAAGAAAATCGACAATTATTTATTTCCAAACAAAATACAACTGATATTATTCGTCCACATCATCTTCCAACCCCACCTCATCTTGTAAGCTACCAAAAAAATGCATCAAGACTTTATATTTTGCAGAAGCAGGAAATCTTTAAAGACTTTGGTAGTGGGTCTACCAGCCTGCTTTTTTACAAAAAAGATCGAACCCACTTGCAGATATTCTACAGATTCTAATTCTGGATTAGTAATCCACACTATTATTGAATGTTGGTTGGTTCAATGATTAATAGATTTCACTACACTTGCATTTTGGCTATGACCTATTTTGCAGATAAATTATACATACTTAATTAGTTCATAGGCTAAATATCTCGATTTTTTTGGTTTTGTGGGTTGGTTCCTTTTTGCAGAAAGGCGTCCAATTGTCAAATAATGTTATTTATAAGATTGCTATGGTTTTTAGATTTTTTAAAATCATTTTTTAAAAAATAACAGGCTTAAATTGTGAAAATAGCTTTTTCCTTATAAAAAATGCTGTAGCTACCACTGTAGTTTTTGAAATCTAAAAAAATGCATGGTGACTTTTCTAGTAAAAACACATATAATTCCATTTCCTCGTTTAAAAAATACCACATGAGTAAAACTAGGACACCCTAATGTACATAGAAGTGGTTTATTAATGTTATTTTTACTATGTGTAAAGTTGCGTTTACTTAGATTGTCAGTTGTACAAAATTTACTTTACGTTTTACTTATGGTCGTTTATAAAATAATTTCATCTACGGCTGCTACGCAAATTGCCAAATACTGTACTCAACTTGGCGTATAGGTGGATTATTTATATACTGTTATGTATTGATTGAAGTGCATAATTAATAATATGTAACACTAGGGAATTTTTGTTTATTACGTTATGGTGTCGACATCAAATAAACAATTGTCAGAACTGTTAATGTCAAATAAAAAAATTTATAAATCGAGTTGTTTCTTAGTAAAATAGTTCAAAATTAATGCAGTCGTATAAAAAGTATAGTACATTAAACGAGATGTAAAGCATTTACTTGACACGCGGAGTTAAACACCTCGCCGCTCGTGCGTAATATGCTACTTACATCTCTTGTAATAGAATATAGTATTATTGTGCAATATTTTATTCAAATTAATTGATTAAAAAATTAAATATAATAGTTATTATATCTAGGCAGTAAAGTCGTATTTTTTATCACGAATGTGGAAAGTGATAAAAAATGACTTTAATGCCGAGGTGCATATTAAATTTTATCCAAAATAACATTTAATAATACTAATAATTAATATTGATGATCAAATCAAATGTCATTTGAATCTAGAAAGTGTCTAAGTATACTGTTTGTTGCGACGGTTATGATATATTTGCCCACCGCGGCGATTTTTTAATCTAGTTGATAAAATTAACTTATTATTTTTATTAAACAACATTTTATAAAAGGGTCCAATCGACCTCCGCGACCGTGCTTTTTTTTTAAATATTATTTAGTTGCTGCTGAGTATCAGTAGACACATCTTAAAATATATAATGGGTTGCATACAATACTCATATTAAATCGGCAGTTAAGTTCTACTTTACTGCCGATTTCTTTTACTTTACTGCCGATTGTTGACTACTTTACTGCCGATTTCGGATAAAAATATGTTTTATTTAATTAAATTTATATTTTTATTTATTATTGGAATTATAAATATTAATGATAATAAAAATTTGTAAAAAAAATGTGCCTATAAAATAAAAAATCAATTTGGGATTCGTATTGTCTTCGTATAAGGCATAATATAAACAAAGACTTTACCTTGTCTAGCTAGCTTACTTATTTAAAATACCTGGAGGATGCATATTAAATAAAGTACCTTGGGATTTAGGTCTGATCCTTGTTGCATTAATGACCCAATAGCAAACCAGAAACTGTTTCCGATGGTAAATCCATTTTCTAATACCTCCAATGTGGTTGTTTCACGACACTGTTCGTGCTCGTGCTGAATCAAATCAGACTCATGAATAATGTCATCGTCGATTTCTAAATCTATGCAACCCTGGCATTGGGTCTCCGCATCCAAGTCAGTATCGCAGCATATCCCCGACGAGTTGTCACAAGAAATTTGATCGGGCGGAATCTCGTATCTTCAATTTTATATTGTTTGGGTACAAAAAAAAATTAATTATAACATACCTACATGTATGTTGATCGCATTTTACTCCAAATTTATTGTATTAAACGATGCTTTATTGGTACACGATTTAAGTTACTTAAGGCGTTACTAAATCCAAAATTTAAACTATGTAATAAATTTTTTTTAAATTTACGTTAAACGTAATTTTTGCAAAAAAAATTAACATTTTAATGATTTTTAATCCCACTTATAACAAAAGGCTTCTATATACCAAAATAACTGAGATATACCTTATTACTTAAATTTTACCGCATTCCTTATACAAATGTCAAAGTGGGGCTTTTTGATGTGGACCATATTACATCATATTACATTACATGTGTGCAATAGTTTAAAAAAGCGGTACAGTTTTTTTATGTACCTAACTCTGTAGATTATGCCAAAATAAAAGTTCAGTACATTTTCAACTCTTAATTTTTCCCATTGAAATTACACAGGTAAATATTTCTCTTTGCATCAACAAAAAATTTTAATTTCTTAAGTTTCTATCGCTTATAATTCGTACATTAAAATACTTTTAATAAAATTATTTTTTAATTACCCGTTTTTTAGGGCCTAGAAACTAATCAATTAAATAGCAATATTTTAATACATTTAATTACCGTAAACACGAGTGGCTTTAGCTCACTTTCAAACTTAAGCTTAAAATTTTTGTGGTTTTAAAAATCATAAACATTAAATACTTATTGCAAACCAAAATTGAGTATTGAGTTGCTCTTTCATAATAACTATGTTATAATAGTACGTGGAGCAGAGTTTCAAAAATTAACATTAAAAACTTGTGTGCAAATGTATCCCCTGGTTTCGGGTAACTTTGTCTCACAGTTTATTTTCCGTATAAAATTAACTCAATATTTTATTTTATTTTTATTAGACACATGTTAGCAGCGACATATATCGATTGCACGGGATTTCCGATAAACAAAATAAAAAATCGACCTATAGTTAACCAAGGATCATCATTCCAAAGGATTGCGCCTAATATAGAAATTGTAACGCCTGCATTTTTTTTAGAGTTCTGCACTAATGCAATATAAACAATTTTTTCTACTCCCACCTTTAAAACGCCCTTTATCGTACATGTTTCCATGACACTAAGTACTAAAATATTAAATAGTTTCTCAACGCCAATATTTGAAAAGTTTATATGAACATTGTACTGACCTTTTAATTTCGCCGGCAGTAAACTTAAATTCGGGCACGGACTATACTGTAAAGTCCTCATAAAATATTTCCTTTACTTTCACTGTGAAAAACTGTCAATTTTCAAGATACCTATATTTCGATTTATAACCTTTATAATTGTGTTTATAAAATGTAAAAATGTGACATGTTGTTTCATAGATGGCGCTCTATACAAATTTTTGATTTAAATCATTTTAAGATAATAATAAGTATTTGTCGTAGAAAAAGTATAGTATGCACCTTGTTTATAAACTTTTCTATACACTCATTAACTTAAGCACTCGCTCGCAAGCTCGCTCGTGCCTAAATTAAATTCGTGTATATTCGCGTTTATCAAACTTGATACATAATATAAACACTATTAAAGTGTAATAAATCCCATTTATTTCTTTAAAACACTGATTTTTCTGTAATATAAACTCAATAGAATCGCTCAATTGACAGGTTTAGATCAACAAATTATAAATGTTAATTTTATCGAGCGCGAAAAGATTTTTTTATAAAAAGGTTTAAGTCACCCGCGGGGTGCAAAGCCACCCGTGTTTACGATACCCGAAAAATTATTCTTAACATATTATTGTATTATTAATATTTAGATAGTTAAGTATACCTACTTGGTAAGTAATGCTTATTTTTATGATTTTTTAATTATCTTAGGTAAATAATTCACTGTGTAAAAAATTTCATAAGGAACTTTATATTTTCTTTAATTTTGCATTGCGTTGTATTTTCTACATGAAGCATATTTAGGGTTATGTTATATATAATTTTATATATCTATATAAAACAAGTTGGTAGGGAATTAAGTGTATTAAGTAGTATTTAAAAACCCAATTATTGGGACTATAAAGATTTCATATAAAAAATATAAAACAAACTATGTCTGCTCTCTTGATACTCTCAAACTGTATTCAAAGTTTTCTCATACGGTTTTATGATTGATTAATTAAATATATTTACATTAATACTAAGGGTGTACAAATTGTGTTTGAATAGTTTGAATGGTCGGAATGGCTTAAATAATTATAATATTAAAACATTTAAATTTTTCTTTAATAATCGGTCAAACTATTCAAATAAATTATTCGATTCGAATCGTTTCGAAAAATTAGCACACCTCTAATAAATAAGTACTAAAAAATTAAGAAAATTATTAATGTAATAATTTATAATAATTATTATAAAAAATAATGTTGAAAGTATTAATTTAATAAAATTTATATTAATTATAATAATTTATGTAATAAGTTATGTTATTGTTAAAATCCGACAAAATCAATCGAGTGGATTTTTTTTTAATTTAATTTAACCCCTTCAGACCCGGCGTACATATATGTACGTATATACGTACTTAAGTTATTATTTTTTAATAAATAGTAATATTATTTACACTTCGTACCGTTAGTACATACACATGTAAATTTTTGAAAAAAAAAACAATATCGCCATCTAGTAAAAATAAGGCCCAATAGTATTTTGTATGACGTAAATAACCTTGAAAAAAACCGCATGGTAACTTACCATGTGGTTTTCTTCTAGGTTATTTACGTCATACAAAATACGATTGGGTTGGCCTTATTTTTACTAGATGACGATACTGGTTTTGTTTTGGTAAGTCTCATATTTATTTTAATTTTTCAACCAATTTTTTCAATCATTTTGATCTAAAAAAAAAAGTCTTTACAAAGAATAAACTAAAGTATTGAATCAAAAATAATTACCTAATACTTATAAGTTCTTACTGAACTAAGTGTTAAACTTGGTGTACATGAGTATGGACATATGGTCCCACTGCTGTGTAGCTTAATAACGGAATGGAGTTTTATAATAATTACGGTACTATTTTAACAGTAAATATTTCCAAGATGGAGAAATTCAAGAAAACATATAATCTTGAAAAAACAGGAGATATCTATATTATATTAGATCTAATTGAGGCGACCTTTCAGAAATTGAATATTTAGGTGTTCCAAAAGAAGAAGAAGATGAATTGGACGAGTATAATTTAGATTTTAATATAAGACCCTGTCCTGATGAAGTAAATAAAGCAGAAATGGATAAAATAGATAGAATTTTGCAAAACAAACAAGATTACGAAAATAATAATGATGAAAAGATGAATCTACCTCTTTCTTAAATTCGAAAATCAAGCAAACAACATCATAACAAAAATAATCTTAGTTTGGAAGTAGTAAATGTGGAACAACCCGTCCCAGAAATTTCTAAAATAAGCAGAGTAAAGTGGAATAATAATGCTTTTAGTCTAGTTTAAGAATCTTGTTAACTTTAAATTTCGTACCAATTGTACATGTACATTTTTTTTGATAAATAAAATGAAAAAAAATTAAAACATTTTTTTTCGTTTATTTAGACCTCTAGGAATATGTTAAAACAAAACAATATTTCTTATCGTTTAATTTAATTCAGGTCTGAAGGGGTTAAATTGACAAACAATTAATAATTTTTTAATATGGTAATTTTTGTTACAATGCCGATTTTTTAAATATTTTGCTGACATTTTAATCTTAACTTCTAAAGAAATACGTTAGATTGATTGCATACTTTTTTAAAATAAAAATCCCAGAGGCATTGATATTTATTTAACAGCCTTATAACATTATTAGGGACACGAATTCGCGATAAAATAAATTTGTCTGAAAATCAATGGCATTGCTAGAGAATTTTTCGCTTGGGGCAAAGAATAATCCATTATACAAATTCCGTCAAATGTACCTTTTTAAAAGTACCTACTGAAAATCCTAAAACTTTCTTTTGTCAACTATCATTTTAATTAAAGCTAGAATCACTAAAAAATGCAAATTTATTAGTTGCCATTTAAAAAATTTACGATTGAATAATTTTTTTACAAAATCATCAAATATATAATCATCATAATCATCAAATAAATATAACGATATCCGAAAATGAAAAATGTCACTACATATAAAAGTTTCAAAATAATGTGAGTTTGTAGCTAAAAAATTACGTAAGAAAGTTTTTGAAAATCAAAAAGTCTTTCCAAAATAAATGAGTAAACCCTTTCGTCTACTATACAGGATGATCCAATAAAAACGAAACAGCAGTTTTTGGGTAGTAAGCATTGATTAAAAGAAAGCAGACATGTTAAATTTAGTTTTAAGGGAGATATTTTAACTTGAAGTAGCAACTAGTACACCTAGGGAATTTGACAAAAATCGTGTAGAAAAATTTTCGAATCATAAAAAGCCGGGGCACTCTTTTAAGTACAGTCATTTAACACTGGTTTACTGTATTTTTTTTAAGTGAGTGCGAAAATCGTGCAGAAGATTTATTCAATGAACACCATCCTGATAGGCACGTAAATGAAAAGAAAATTAAGGAACTTAGCTGCTGATGTTTTAGGACAAGTTGTTGCTGACCCAACTTTGAGGACGAGAAAATTAGCTAATAACTAAAATTCCTGGAACGATCATCCAACGGATCCTAAGACCTCATAAATTTCGTCCTTACAAGATCTATTTAGTATATGAATCAAATATGGATAAAACTATGACTGAACGAATAGCTAATTATGATAATTTGCTTTTTAACATTTGTTTTTTAGACGAGTGTACGTTTTTTCTTTATTCAACCGTCAATCGTCATAATTTTGTTCTGGTCAGGGGTTTTTAACGAAGTCCTCACTCAAACTCCTCAAAAACTGAATCCCTGGATAGATTAATTACTGGTTGATATTGTTAAAAATAATAACAGCTAGGTACTTGGAAGACCATTCAACATTCCAAC